GGCCTCAACAAATACAGTCTAGCATTTGCTTCTCTTTGCTTTCCTTCTGGCTCTGCTCAGATCGGAGGTGTACTCGTGCGAGCTTTGGGTCTTCTTGTATTGGCAACGGGCGGCAGGGGAATTACTCTGCACGTTTTATACAGGTCTTGTTGTGCTGGCAACGGGGACAGGGGCAATACTTAGCTCGAGTATTTCTTGTGTTAGTAGCTGAGATTTGGCATCGGTATTCTGTCTTAAGGTCTGTTTCTTTCTGTTAGGAGGGAGGTGGGCAATAGTCAGCACTAGTATTCCGTGATATTCCGTGCTAAGCTTTATATTCAAAGCAATGAGCAGTGTAAAGCAGCAGTAAAACCTTAGATGTTTGAGGGGAAGCATATCTGCATATATATATATATAGATATACATACACACACATAGATTCAGATGTATACATAAATCGCCAAGGCATCCATTTAGCTTCGCAGGCATCAGTCTGGAGGTCAAGCGTGCCAAGTTCTCGACAACAGAGCTTGCTTTAGCAGGACATGCACTGGGGCATCAAGCACCAATTGCCTTGGTCCACTTTCCTGCGACCCTCGAAGCAATATTCGCCGCTCGACCTCTGTGTGCACTCATGTTCGTTCAGAGGCTATACAGAGCTGTGCATGGCGCAGGCACCACGTCTCGAAACCGAAGAATCTGTTCATGCTTTGTTTCGGGCCTAGGGTTGCCTCGTCTGCGGCTCAGTGTCAAAGCAAGTGTCACAAATATCAGCTTGTTGTCAGCAATTTGCAGATGGATTTCGCGGTACGCTCGTTTACAAGGTATCCACACAAGCGCGAAGGCGGGCAACATGTCCTCGCGGACCCATGGCGTGCAACTACAAGTAGGTGCTTTTCATGGACAGGCATTTAGGGGCCGTCATCCAGCCGTGAGCTGAGGACATGAACATGGCAGGCTGCAACGGCTTCTGGGACCTCCAGGCCCTGGCATGGACAGATCCGCTCAGGGTCCTTCTAGAAACCTGCAGAGAGGACATCACGGAGCACATGTCCCGAATTCGGAAGCTTTTTGCACCGGAGATGTGTTTCGAGTACAAGCTGCGAACCTCGGATTGCATTGGTGTGCCCTGTGTCTCTGAGCAGTCGCGCCTTAGCGACAGAGTTGGCGTGAAGGAAGCTTACTTCATGGACGCGTGAAAGAGCCGATGCTTCTTTCGCGCAAACGAGTCATAAAACTAGGATGTGCTAACATATGGACACGTGCCCGCTGGACACAGAAACAAGAAAGTTTGGACCAGCCAACAGGGTTCGGTCTCTGTGTTCGGCATGAGCGCATGCTATATGTCCATATGCTCTCAATGATGCACTGTGATACCTGCCGTCTCTTCTCCACCTGCCGGAGAAGTGGCGTGGGCCTTTCTGGGCACCTGTGCAGCTCTTCAATCTAGATAATGGAAATGTAATGTCATGTCAAGATGTCTGATTAGCCGGGTGCCTGAAGCAGAATAGGTTGGATTGAGCTCAGAACCCTCTGTGGGTTGAGCTTGGATACTTGCATTCGGGAAGTGCTCGACGTTCTTTCCGAAATATGTGATAATCCATGTAAGTAGCTCAGGAAAGGACTTGAAGCTCAAGTTCATGGAGACTTTCGTTTCTATGCATCCTGGCCAGACTTCAGCTGTCGTAAAGCCGAGGCAGACAAATCATTCGACCCATTCGACCCGAGGCTCTCTTAGGACAGGCAATCCGCAAAAAGTCTAAGAGAGTCCATCAGGAACCAGGAGTTTGAGCAGGCGATGGCAGGCAAGTACACCCAGACGCAACTTGTCTTTCTGAAGGGGAGCTTTGCACAGCTTTGCACAGCTTTGGACTTTGCGACTTTCGCCCAAGGATCGGGGAGTTGGATCCCACCAGGTCGAAGCGGCTGGAGCACTTCTTCGAGCGCCGCTCGGCCTGAGAGCGGCTGTGGCTCCTGTCACCGGCCGGCCGGCCCGTGTTGAAGCATCGGCTCCTTCTCGCAGGCACTGCTGTCCACGACTACACAGATGAGATGAGCGAGATGTTCCCTGACAAGGGACATAAATTTGCCGGCAAGGGTCACAAACTTCCCTTGCAGACTTCTCTGTTCGCTCAGGAAAGCTGCTGGAAAGTACGAGGACTTCGCAAAGCTGATGGCGAAGGCTCTTTCCAGCTCGTGTGCTGATCGAATGTCTACTGAGTCTACTGCAGAAACAATTTGAAAGACATTGAACGTGTGAGGGAGCAAACTCCGTGAAACGTGCCGAAACCGCATGAAGCTGTCTCGCTGATGACGACACACGCATGCAAAGAAGACGAATGCCAGGTGGTAGAATCTAGATGAGCCGAATTACACAGAAGCAAAAGACTGGAGACTACAGTCTCGAAGTTCAATGTCTTCTTACTTGTCGCCATGACATGCCCTGGCGTGGACTTCGCCATCGGTGGGTTTTACAGGGGACAGGATGTGAACGTGGAAACAAAAACGGATGGTTTGTCGACAGGGGACGCCTTCGTGCGATGATGGTTCGCATACAGAAATTATAAGCCCTTGAAGCACCTGGCAACGTGGAATGAACCACGAAAAGAGCGAAGCAAAGCAAAGCATTTTGTACAGTGTTACCTGTCGCAATATATTCATATTGTAAGCCCTGCTGCTTGGGAATGAATGTTTCACCGAAAGGAATGGCTGCGACCGTTGTCCGCCTGCTCTGCGTCTCAGGCCCACAGTAAATGGGTGATCTGTGGAGCCTTCTCCTCGATGTTCGAAATGATGTGTAACTGCTCGGCAGCGCTTGGTTCTGTTAGATACATCCTGAAACGATGGTTTCGAGATGTCTGAGGCCCATGACAGCCTTAGCACGGATGCCTTCGGAGTGGAGGACAACTTCTTCAGGAGCTCTGACCACAATGCTCCAAGTTATCTGGTGAAACCAGCTTTCCAGCAATGACCGGCACACTCCGATTTTGGTGCATCGAGGAATCCGAAGTCCTACGAGAAATGGTGCGACGCTGAAGCTGAAGCTGGCCTAGAGAGCTCGTTTCCGATTCGGTAACCGAGGATCGGGACCATGGCAGAGGAGAACGCGCCCGAATGCAAGACCTTGGACAGGTGCGGATCTTGGTGTCTCGTCATTCCTCGTCATTGTCGTTGTGCATGAGACCCAAGTTCCATTGGCTGCGTCAAATGTGCCATCGCCGTTAAAGACAAGCACAACTGCCCCATTCGCCTGGATGTGACTTGTCCGCATGCTGCAGACGGTCTCACGCGGTTGCTTGTCTTAGGATTCCAGCCTAGCTTGCGCAGTTTGCAGCCTCCCGTTCGGTCTTTTCATGCTGTCCGCTTGCAGGTGAAGCTGCAAGACATCTACAGGTCTCTGAAGCGAAATGCATATCCGTTCTTGGTGAGCGAGTATGGAGTGCCTCGTTGAGCGAAGACTTGCTTATTCAGCATGTATGAATGTATGACTCCCAAGTACGGTAAGAAGGAAGAAGAAGACAATGCATAGCCTGCGAGCTGCAGTCCATCTGTTAAGGTACGTGAGGAAGCAGAAACTGAGGAAGGCATCCAATTGGCAGAGGCCTTGGCTTCCTGCAGCGGCTCCCAATTACCACGCACCATCAAGCAACTGCGATTAGCTAAGGTTAATGCCACAAAGCACGGTGCCGTGGCAGAATGTTGTGTCATTGCCCAGTAGCTCCTGACAAGAAGCAGAGCGAGTCGTGAATCAGCCGGACGGCGGCCAACATATAAGACACAGTGGAGCCTCGTTGCTTGATTGACAGATGTAGACCTGACAGGTGCTAGCATTTGTTATCCAACCGCTTTACAGCAAGTCATGACTGTGCCCTGCCCAAGTCTATGCAGTGGGCAGCAATGTGAGCTACTGGCAAATAGAGTTGTGCTTGCAGACTTTGCAGTGTGGATCTTGCCAGGCACGTGTCTTTTGCGGAAGAGTCCTCTGAACATGCGGCGTGTGTTTGCTGAAGCAGGCGATTCGTGGGTGGAGCAGTCTAGGGTCAATCGGGTCTCTATTCCCCATTCCTCCAGATCTTCAAGTCTTGCGCTGTGTGGTGCAGCTTACATTTCCTTTGCAGAGACGAATAAGTCTTTGAGCTGCACAGCAGCAAATGCCGTTTGTTTCATTGTTTGACCGCCGTTTGCAGGAGATTGTCATCACCAGCCGTTTCTGATGTCCGCCCTGCAGGAAAAGAGAGGGCGCGCGAGGAGTTCTTCAAGGCAGGTTTGTACAAATAAATGGACTATGTGCAGCTGCATTCAGACTGTTGTGCGCAGGCCACGAAGGACGACACAGTGGACGCAGCCCCAGGGGGACTGTCCTGCCAGTCTCCCAGCAGTTTCGCCGTGCTGGCGCCCAGGTCCTTTTGAAAGATATCGAGCACCTCAACACCGAGCTCCAGGTGGACAAGAAATCTGACAGGAGACCGACGATTTCGGGCTTCTCAGGCTTTCCCATAAAAGGATACAAGCCTCGGTGACAATACATAATGCGACTTTATTTTGGTGTTGATCCCACCGAGAGGATTCTGGAGACCACGGACCGCTATCCAATCAGGGAGCGCTTGGAGGTGCCCCTGGTGATGCCCGTTGACACGAGCAGCCAGTTAAAGATTCTGTGATGTCAGGAGAAGGCTCGGCGTGAGAGCGGCAACTCGACACTCGCAGCTTGGCATAGCAGGTCTGATAATGTCGACCTTGAAGGTTCCGGCGCAACCTGTTATGCTTCGCATCGGAGGTGGCATCGATTACGAAGATGTGATGAGCGTCTTCAGTCGCCGGGTTGTAAATTTGTGCACATCAAAACGAGGGAGGCTCTTCAGCTTGGTCTAGTGACAGGCCAGACTTACAAGGACACGGTTGAGGAGTTCGCGCAGTGGTTTGTGCGACTTGTCGAGAACGGGCTAGTGTGGATCTTCGGCAGCTTGTTGTGACCGAATGGCCGTGCTTGGAGGTTCTCCGACAGGATCAAAGAAGATCAGAATCGGCCAGAACACAAGGCCGTCCGGCCTGGCACGGTGACAGGTGGAAGTGAGGAGGTTGCGGCCGCCTAGGTGGACTACATCATCAGCTGCCCTTGTTCCAAGAGTGACTTCGATGTTACCGAATACTTCCAGGACTGATTGAAGAGAGTTGGGCACAGTGCTTGCAGCAGTTGCCACTACCGCCCTGCAGGACATTGGCAGTCAGGGCATGTCTGAGCAGCTCGGAGCAAGCTCAGATTGAGACATGCGTTTCCGCTTCTCTTCCTGTCTGCAGGTATTACAATCGATGATGGCCTGTGTGGATGTCCTGCATGGCGGCAAGCCTCACCGCGGCAGCTCATAGACTACGGCAAAAAGCAGCCTCAGTGTCTGTTGCTTCGTTTCGGCTGCTCGGAAGCGTGCATGCGAATTAGACTTTTTGGATTGGAGGCCCTTTACCGGCGCGGGTTGGCTCGGTATCGCCTCGGAGATCACAGGCGATCTCGCGCGGGCCCTGTGAGACCATGAAACGCTGCACACAGCCCAGTTGGAAGCTTGTTGCTGGGAGGCCCGGACCTCGAAGCTGCACTGAGATCGATCAGCAACTGGCGCATGAACCAGGTGTGGTCAGCTGCCTAAAGCTCCCTCTGCTGTCACTCCCTCTCCTCTGTCTGCTTTTGCACAGGACCGATCAAGATCTGCGACTCAAATCATCACAACCCCTCGACAGAGTTCACCTGTTTTTCCTTCACTGGATCCCTGCCTCACCAGTGGGGTTCTCAACAAAGAAGCATACAGTCATCTGGGAGGCGTGCAGAGCTTCCTGCATCACCGACCTTGCCACAGTTCACCTCCAGACTGTTACCTGTTACCATTGCATCCATCCCAGCCGACAAGTGGTCCAACCTGCACGTTCTCTTAGACACACCGAAAGCAAATTAGCCTTCTGCCCGGCTCTCTCTCTCTCTCTCTCCTGTCTGTATGTAAGCTGCTTAACCCTTCCAGGCCGCCTTGTTGTTGTTTGCCGCAAAGAACGTCATGACAAACCAAAGCCGGGAGGAGAGAGCGAGAAGCCCCCTGGTCCTCTGACCCAAAAGCAAGCAGAGCGAGGGACAGCAAGAAGTAGGGAAAGCGATCACTTACATGGGAAAGTCATGGGAAAGTCTGGGAAGGCTCTTTCTGTTCTGGTCTCGGTCATCAAACTCTTTTCAACATCTCTTCGCCGTGTAAATTGTTTTGCCTTTGAGGGCCTGGACGCGGCCAAAAACTTGCTAGGTTCACGAGTCCCTGAAAGGCGGACTTAAGCTCCAACCTCAAGCAACGCGAAGCCTCAGACTCATAAGCCCCAACTCTAGAACAACCCTGAACCCTAGTATCGTATTCCTCACCTGTAGTACTATAGGATCTCCTAGAATCCACAGCTCCAAGCCGAAACTCTTGAACCCTAGACCCCACAGGGCCAAAGCCCAAAGCCCTTATCCTACCCTAAACTGTCACCCTAAGTGGATCCCGAACCCCACCCGCGGTCTGTTTACCAAAGATAAGTTTGAGTCCCCCAACCATACTTTTCCACGATCAGCACACGTTTGCATCGCATTGACGCGAGTTAATGACCGCCCCCCACCTCTAGCGGAAATCTTTCCAGCGTCTCGAGCACCACCAGCCGAATTCCCGACCAGACGATGTCCGAAGAGAGCACTCGGGTACCAGGCATTGAATGTGACTCGCAGGGATACCATCCAGGGGAACCATTTACAGGTCGGTGCGCATTCGCCTCAAAACAGATCGGGCAACAGTTTTTTCAAAGGCTACTGGGTGCACCAAGTAATGCGGCGTCAGGGCATTTCCATGCGGTTTCGCAAGCTTTGTCAGCAGGATGGAGCTTCTGAAGATGCCAGGGCCTGGAAAGAGTTTTCATGCCGAAGTTCGGGAGAAGCTCAGATGTTGCACATTGGTTTGGTGCTGTCGACATTGAATTGCAGATTCAAGCTCGCATCCACCGACTGATGCAAAGATGGATCATCTGCGCGTTTCTGTGTTCTTCCCCAGGCCCCAGGCATGCATGATTTGGAGCGTCGGGCCGTGCTCCCGGTTTCAGCAGCCGCCCAGAGGTCGGTGCAATCATCTCTACGTCCGCTCTCGAAACGATACAGCACATTCAGAAGCTACTTGTAGCAGTAGTGGTGGTAGTTATCGTCCTCGTCGTCGTCGTCGTCGTCGTCGTCCTGGTAGTGGTAGTGGTAGTGGCAGTAGCAGTGGCAGTGGCCGTTGCAGTGGCAGGGTACGCGTTTGTGGTAGTGGTAGTGGCAGTAGCAGTGGCAGTGGCCGTTGCAGTGGCAGGGTACGCGTACTGGTAGTGGTAGTGGTAGTGGTAGTGGTAGCAGTACTGGTAGCAGTAGTCGGAGTAGTCGTAGTAACAGTAGTCGTAGTTGTCGTAGCAGTAGCAGTAGCAGTAGCAGTAGCAGCAGCAGCAGTAGCAGCACCAGTACCAGTAGCAGTAGGAGTAGCAGTAACAGTAGCAGCAGCAGGGGCACGAGCCGGACCCGTAGCCATTGCAGTTGCGGTAGGAGTATCTAGTAGCCTGTAGCAAGCAGTAGCAGAATCGCGGAGTGCCTAGCAGTATCTAGTAGTGGCCAGTAGTACCTTGTAGTATCTAGTAGTATGTAGAAGCGCGGGGTAGTATCTAGTACGGCCTAACAGTATCTAGCAACATCTAGCAGTAGCTAGAAGTGCCTAGTAGTATGTAGTAGTATCCGGAAGTACGTAGTAGCATGCCTAGCAGTATCCAGCAGTATCTAATAGCATCTTGTATTAACTTAGTATCTAGCAGTATCTAGTAGAATGCAGTTGCATGTAGTGGCTCGTAAGGATTTAATGACACAAGGCTTACTTCGCATGACAAGTAGCGTCATAGTAGCACTCTTAACAGCGGACCGTAGTACTTCTGGTTGCTTGGTACAAGAATAGGGAAAGCTTCAACAGCGGATGTGATGAGACTCTCTGCTGTTGAGAATTTTGTAGCGCTTAGCGTTTCGCGACAGCCCCAGGACTCAGAATATTGTTGCTGCTTTGGAACACCTGCAAGTTTGTGCGCTGCCTGAAATTTGACCTTTTAATGCCCCACCTACCCTCACCCCACCTCACCTCACCTCATCCCACCCCTCCACCCAAAACAAGCACTCTGAAGTTTTGAGCCCCATCTACAATCTACAGAGAATAGCAGCATGCCGTACTACCAAAGCCCTGTCAGTTGAATTACCGGCCTGTTAGGATGCTTCTGAATCCCGACATGTCGAGATACCTGAGACGCCAAGATTCGGCATTACTTGATCGACATTCGCCGCACCCTCGAGCTCGAGAAAGTCGGTGCCCCGGTGCTTCGGTTGTCTCTTCAACATCTTGCTGAAAGAGCAAATGCAGCCTGGGGCAGGCGAACTGCCAGAAAATCTTTCTTAGGCCAGCTGTCTGCTGTTTGGGGTGGGTGTTGTAGCAATTTGCATGGGATCCTTTAGATGTGTCAGTTGCCCTCGAGCCTTGGACTAGAGGAAAGACAGCGAGAAACGACTTTACGATGATCGGCCTGATCGGCAAGAGGAGCAGGAGACAGTGGAGGCTGCTCATGTGTTGACTTTACCCACCTACTTTGGTTCTGCCTTCCGGGCTACTCTGGGGTATCAGGCAAAGCACTGTCATTCACATGCGGCCTGGTGGCTGCTAATACTCTGCCCTCTGCAGGTAGACGACTCTGACGAAGCCATTGCGACTGACTTGCATTTTGCAGCCAGCAAGAGAGCTCGAAGTGATTGTTGAGTACCTAGGACCTAGCCCAAAGCTCCTCGCTTCCTGAGCTTGTACTCAGGAGGCCAAGCTACGTGCCCTCCGCGGTGGTGGGGGCTGGTGCTGCTGCGGGCCGGAGCAGAGCATGTTACTGCAAGTCTGTCGGGACAGTACCTTTCCGGCTGAAGGTTGTGTACCGAATCTGTTGTCCGGTTCTTGTTTCTCTTGGAGGCGATGCCACTTAGGCATGAGTACATGATCAGCTGTAGGAACTGCTGACGGGTTGCCAGGCTCAAAGCAAAGGGAAACAAAGGCATGTTTTGAGAGCCATCACCACTGCCAAAGAGTTCAGATCCAAGGCACTTGGCCTTTAAGATATGAGCAGAGATGTGGTGATCAGGTACCGCACCTTGGGCCATTGGGTCAAAGACTTCCCACGAAGAACTGAGTTCAAAAGCGGTCCAGCAAGCATCACGCAGCGCACCCACCAACAACAACGTTTAACCGCCTCATGGAAGATGCCGTCGAGCGGCGAGCAGCCAGAGCTTATCTTGAAGGGAGGTCAGCTGCCGTGAAAGACTTTCTGTGCTGAGATAGGCACAGCTGTACAGCCCATGTCGAGTCTGTTCTGTTTGAGTAAGGGGATGGTGGATTTCCCGGATCCTGAGGCAGACCGTGTCGCAGACCTTCTATAGCGGCAGCCTGGCATTAACCAGAGAGTGGAAGTGAGAGAATCAGGTGCCAAGCTCGACATCCGACATCCCAACCTCGATGCATACTGTTGCATTTTGAATTCCGTCACAGGCTGTAAAACTTGATGGCTCTTACTGTTACCGCTCTTGGGAGCCCCGTATGGCAGGGATACCCAAGCCCAACGATGCTCGAGCTTGCCCCAAGGCGAGGTGCTCTTTCTGGGCAAAGGTTTTGCCTGGATCAAGCTGCTTGCATCCTTGCTGCACTTTGGATGTGTCATGCTGGTATCGTGTCTGTGGGAGATATGGGAAAAGACTGGGCTGACGAGTCTCAGCACAAGCGGGGAGGTAACATGCAAGCCTAGCCGCAAACTGATGCTGGAACAGTGCGCAAGTGTTGTCAAGTCGCGTCGAGGATGCACCTGGTGACGAGGCAGGTCTTTCCGACAAGTGGAGCGAACGCTCGACTGTTTCAATGCTCCGAGCATGTCTTCCCTCTTGCTGGAGTGCGAGAGCTGTGAGGTGCCGGAATCCGTACTCGAGCAGCTCCGAGAGATGACAGCCGCTCTCCTGCATAAAGCAGGCTGAAACGATTGTGGGAAGTTGGGAGCACGAGCTGAATCCGCCAGTGCAGCTGCTTTGTCGTGGGGCCGTGGGTTGCGACCCAGGCAGCTGTCAAGAAGAAGTCGCGGACGCAGCTGCGGCACAGGAAGGCGAAAATCGACGAAACTGCGGCTAGGCTACAGCAAGCTCACTTCAGCATGTGACGGTGCAGTAGCATCGTTCACACTGTTTTGCAGGGCTTTGAGTCCAGGGGGATGTAGCAAAGCCGAAGCTCTCCGCACAGGTCGAGTATGTCGTGGCCTCAGAGAGGTCAGGGCCAGTCGGGGCAATGTGTCAACTGGGAAGGCTTCACATGGAGTCCCACAAAGGATCGGTTCCATTCCTTCGCACAGAATCTTAGGTGGTCTACGTCAGCGCGTTAGACCTGTCAGATACACGGCCACTTCGCCCGGAGCTGAGCACGAGCTACCAGCTTCATGCGAGATGCACAACGCTTTTGCCAAAGCGATGTCGGCTGCTCTGAGCCTAAGGTTTGGGGGCACAGGTCAAGATGAGGCTGCCTGAAGAAAGAGTGAAACTGTCAAGAGTCCGCATCATTTTTGCTCACTCCACTTCATCCTTTGCTTGTGACTGGTGTGCATGGGGAGGCTCTACTCAGACACGCGCGGCGTCGGCGGTGAGGATGTGGAGGTGCCCTCTGCGCCGTCTGCATTCCTGGACAGGTTCTCGGTTTCTCTCCACATCTCCCTGTCCTGGGCATCGCCTGAAATCCTCGGCGTGCCTCTCGTTGCTCACGGGAGCATTCGCATCTGTAGAGGACGGTGAAACTGAACATCTGCCTCACGAAACAAACAGACATCCATATCGAGATGCGAAAAATTTCTACGTGGTGAAGGCTCCAAGAAGAACCCAACTAGCCGTGGAAAACCAGAGCCCCAAATATCCCCTGACCAGCATCCGTCAAACTTCGGTCGCCGCGTGTCAGGGCGCATCAGCTGATTGTTGATTCATACATTCTTTCTTTCATTTTCTTGCCTTTGCTGCCGGTGAGGTCACGGCTGAACCGGAGCTCCCATCTCAGGCCTTTGGGCATCGGGTCTCATTTTTTCTTCTTCTTGGTGATCCTTGCCTTGCTTGGTCCCCGGAGAGCTCGGCCAGGTGGAAGAGCCGGAGGCTGCGCTGTGCTATGCTGTGCTACTCTACTACTTGTACCTCGCAGTGTTCACTACACGTTGCAGGCTCCTCCAGAAGAGGATGCTGAGGCTGGGGCAACGTGGCCATGCCTGATATGCCATGCTTGCTCTGCTTGAGCTATGCTCTTGCCATCTTAGCATCGAAACAATGCTCAGATCTGTCCTGGATGTGATGTGCTTCCAGCATCAGGCTCAGGACCACAAACCGCGGTACATGCGGAGCTTCGAGACCAAGGCTCGTGCAGCAGCGGGAAGAACGTAAGACAGTGTATGCACACCCCTGCAGCCCGATGCAGGTCGCTGAGGAAGAGCGCCAGGTCCTGGAGTCTCGGCACATTCAGCATCATTCGGCACGAACCGAGCATGCGTTCATGGCTGTTGGGTTTTGCGCTGCAGAAGCTCTCGGCTTTTTCTGGGCTGCATCGTTCTGTGAAACAAGGACGGCAGCTACGAAGGAGAGGTCGTGCGTCGCGCAAAGACATATGCCGCTCTCCTGGTTTGGCTTCGGGCTTCTCCGCATGATGCAGAACACTGTATGTGAAGACACCATAGTACGGAAGCCCAGTCTTCAAACTGTTTTTACGGAAGATCCTCGATATCGAGAAGGAAAGGTTCTGTGCGATAGGTCCGATAGGTGCTAGGCTTGCTTGGCTTACTTGGCTGACTAAGTCTAAGTCCTTCGTGAGGCCTGGATTCGGCCCGTTTCTTCTGAGAAGCTTCCCGAGCACGTCCGCCTCAAACTCAAGGAGATGTGTGACGGGCCGCGCACCCAGAAGAAGTGCGAAGTAGAATGCTCGTAGCCGGATTCAGCTCGAGGCATGCGCGTAGGGCACAAGAGGGTTCAGGCTTGAAGGTTTGCTGGTGGTTTAGGTGCAGGCTTTTGCTTCCAAGTACACATGAGAACAAGCTTTTCGCAGGTTCCGGAGAAAGGCAGAGGACGGCGGCCGTGGAAAGCCCTTTTGTGGAGGCAGGAGAAGAGGAAGCCACGTGGAAAGACATGTGGCTGCGTGCGTTCTCTAACAAGATAGCTGCAACAGTGTGTGTCACGAGTTTGAGCCTTGACTTCCACAGCGTTAGTGCACGCAATGGTTTCGTTTATTGCTGGCTGGTGACCCTGCAGGGATTGAAGATGACGTTGTGTGACCCGTCTGCAACAGATCTAGGACCTAGGAGCACTTCGGTTTTGCTCTGTTGCCAGCAATTTGCGGAGGAAAGTCGGAATATCTACAGAGCGCGCATTTTGTTATCATGCTTTTTGTCAAGTCTTCTCAAGGTATGTTGCCAATCCCGATCTTTCAACGAAGGGCAGTATCCTCAGTGTCGGCATGAAGGCGTGGGAGCTATCTTTGCTTGGCCCGAGGGACTCCGCCATCTCTTGTTCCATGACTTGCCAGGTTGGCTTCAAGCTGTACATGGACAAGAAGGCTCCGACTCAACAGTTGGCACATAAAGTTTGATGCGTGCCTTCTCCATGGAAGGGTGTGGGGGGGTACGATGTGACTGCCAGCGAGGAGCACATCGCTGGAGACTCAGAGGGTGTCAGTTTGGTTGCTGTTTATATAGGCACACCACCTCTATTTTGTCCACGCACCTCTACTCTTCAGGAAAAGATGTTGGAGGCGATACGCAAGAATTTCGAGACCCAGGAGCCCCGGGCCACGCGAAACCGCGCGTGTCTTGCTCCTTGCCTTTTTGCGGCTAAGGAGGGCCGGAAGAAGTCGCTGCAGCTGCGCGATGCTTTTGGCGAGGTTGGGCCTGGGCTCGGCTTGGCTCTTCAGCTGCTCGGCCTCGGCCTCTCAGGGCCCGGACAGTTTCAAGGACGTTCTTTGGGTGGGGGAATGACGTGACCTCAGATTTGCTGCGTGGAGATCCTCTCAGCCGCTAAGAGGCTTCGCCTCCCCAGTCACAGCATCCCTGAGACTAAGAACTCTTGCAGTTTGGCTGAGGCACACATTCCTTCTCCTTGGCTGCAGGTGGGCGTAGAGTACGCTTCCAGCCCTACACGACATGGCATGTTTGGGCTTGTCGGTTTGAGGCCGGCTGGCTGGTGTCATACCATTTGCGGATGCCACTCGGGAGGAAATCGGAGTTCAGGTTCGGGCCCGTCATTCAATACGGCGGGTGGAGGCTCATGCGTGGGTTGACGTTTCTGTGCGGCTGGGCAATGTGGCCTCATCTCCAGAAAGCCTTCGAATGTCACGTTGAAGAAAAACAGGAAAGCAACTTACAAGTTGAGTGGAGATGGCTGGGGTCGGACTCAAGGAACGGCTGGGTCACTGAGGAGCGCTTGTCTCCGTCCCTTGAGAAAAAGCAATTCCTTTGAGTCACCCGCCGCATCATTCATTGAACGCATCATCTCCAATCACTGCTGGGATCCGAACTTGAGCGGATGCTTCGTGAAAGGGGCTTCTCAGCACGCAAGCTCTGTGTTGCGGGATTTGCTGAGGAGGCGAGCCATCCCTTCAGCTTGAACAAGGCAGAAGGGGCACTCCGAATGTCCATGCTGAAGCCGGGTTCCAGTTTGTTGAAATTTATAGTTTAGTAACAGTCCAACAATGTAGCGGCTGGAAGGCATGCTGGTGCTCAACGGAACTGAGATGGCCAAGTGCCTTGGCAAGCCATCAGTGCAAGACAAGGAAGACAAGCACATGAAGTTGCACTCGGCAAGAAAGGCTGAAGAGAAGTCGTGTTCAGCTGTTCCAGGAACGCTCGAGAAAAAACTCGAGCTGGACCTAGTGGAGAACATCAAGCTGCTGCGACTCACGGCAGACGTTCACTCGCACCCTTCTCACCAAGACTCTTTGCGCTTCTGACTCTCATCCGAGGATCGAAGGAAGCCACTTTCTTGCATTTCTGCCCCAACAAGCAAAACCACCTTCCTTGTCCTTGACTCGAGTCTAGGTTTGGTGCGCAGATGATATCAATGGAGTGAAACTGAAACAGACTTTGGAGAAGGCGAAGTGTCCGCACAGCAGTTGCTTGGCAGACTGCGCATGGTGTGCATTCAGGTGAAGTGCAGTTCGGGCAAGTCAGAGTCTGGCTCAGAGTCTGGCCATGGAACCTACCAGGCTTCGACACCATCTTCTGGATGATGCCCTATGTTCCGGATAGACAATGGCGTCCGCCTGCTAGCAACTTGACATGCAAGTCCTGTCTGAGCGCAGTTGGGGGGTTCGGGGAATACATGTGCACGTGTTTTTTGGAGCCACCAGAATTGGAAAGCAGCAGCCTGGCCATGTCACATGTCCGAAACAACTAGACGTGCAAGGCGCCCTGTTGCTATTCTTCAACCGTACAGCTCTACAAGGACTCCACAAGACAATGCGGCCCAGAGGCAAACAAACACCCAGGCCTATGAATGCAGCGATTTCGCAATGTCTGCACCCATGGCTGAAAACAACCAATATGAACAAGCATGCACGACATCCACGGATATCTGCTGCGCAGTGCCGCAACAAATTCCAATGTTGGTCTTCAATGAAGTCGGTGCCTTCAGTAACCGTGCCTCAGGGTATTTAGGCCATGTAGCAAAAGTCCATTCTACGCTAAGCAGACGGCATCGGCATCAGACTAACTATTTCCCCTTCTTTCGCTCAAAGGCAAGTCCCGTTACGGATAGATCCATGTTGCTCTGGGGTTTCACGTCCACAGCATCAACTGTGCTGGTTGTTGTAGCGCATTTTTTTAAACGGTGCCGGTGACTCTTTTCCAAACTACAACCATGTCCACTTCGACCGCATCCATGACCAGATAGCAACGTCCCTTCCCACAACATCTGCAGCCAGGTAAACACTATTCATGGCACAATCGGTTGATGGGAGCGGGCAGTGCTTACGTGTGTGTGTGTGTGCTATTGTACTTTGCTCTCAGTGGCACAGCATCATCTTCAGGTATTTCTCAGATGATGTACTACTACATCCAGGCCTTCCTGGAGAGTGCTGCCCATGTGTGCAAGGAGGACGGCCAGCTGGCCACTTGCACATGTTACGAATATGATGCCTCAAGAGTGATTGGTCTTGGAACTTCATGCCGTTCGGGTCATGCTGCTCCCTCACTTTGGCAGAGGTTGTTGTTGTGACGTCAGCTCAGTGCTTGAGCTGGAACCTGTACAACTGCGACTGGGCTTATCCTGGCATGAAGAGGATCATGCTCGGCATGGCAGCGGAATTGAGGCAAGCCAAAATGGCAGGAACGAGAGCTGCAACCGGAGGTGTGGTGGTTTGCTGCTTGACCGCGAACAGATGGTAAGAGAAGGGAGTGGTGATGCCGAATTCATGTCGGATGGGCACTGGCATGTGCCATGATGCGGACTTTTAAAGAGCCTCTGCACAAGCCCTTTTGGCAAACCTCATGTGGGCACGCAGCGCTTATGCACACAAAGGAGTCAATCAGGCATTCGTTGTGCATTCTAGGAATTGGAGATTTTTGCCGTGTGCATCACTCCTTTGAGGATGCACAGTGTTTTGGGGCTTAAAGCTTAAATAACTTAAAGTTTGAGGATGTTTAAGGTTTAGGTCCTCGGGTTTCGGGCGAAGCTACAGCCACCGGACCTGCCAATCGTTTTGTGGTTTGTGTTTGGATAAGGAGGTGCAATTCCGTGCTTGAATTGTGGTTTGAACTTGTGGTAAGGGGCTAAGCGGGTCGACTTGGGGTTTGGACTGTTCAGAGTTTAGGGTTCGTTTTGGCTGTCCATGTGCAGGGGAGCGAGCCAGGGATTTAGGGTTCTAGATCTTGCTAAAGGTTTACGGTTGGGTTTCGGGCGCGCACCTGTTCAAAATTCAGGGGCGGTCTGTCGTTCTGAGTTGAACAGCTGCGCAGTCTGCCTAATCCAAATCCTTGATTCGCATGGTACAAGGACGTGGCCCCGTTTGAAAAGCACGGCTACCAATCCCGGTTTGGCGATGGCCGCGATCGGTACGTAGACCATCCCGTTTTTCACAGGCACCAGACTGTTGCCTTGCAGGGGTCATGGGTCCAGGCGAAGCAAAAAAATAATATCGGACGCACCCAACGAAGTACTGCATGCTTTGTTGACAGGCTCTGCGACACAGTGGCTGTGTGCTGGAGGATGAATTCGTCTGCATCCGCGCCTGGCGAGGATGAAGCAGAAGTCCGTGGCGTTACAGCACCTTGCCTGAGCTCGGTCGCAACTGTGAAGCCTGTAGCAGACGACAATCTCAGTAACTTCGTGTTCTGTTCATTTGCTTGTTGCTGTGGCCTTCCGGTGGAGACTTTGCCCATTGAAGCGACAATCCTGTCCTGGGGGCCGGGCTGGGCATGGACCAGATCTGGCTCGGGTCGAGCAATGGCCGACTCTTCGCCTGCTCTGTGAACTTGGCAGACATCACGGGTTTGCGTATGATGAGATTGTGCTCCTGTGGCATGGCAAATGCTGGTAAAAGCAATGCTTTGCGGAAAGCTCGCCTTGGTGAGGCACGAAACACCCGTCACATGTGTCACATGTGTGCAGGGTGTCCATGGGCAGCCATAACTGCTGCTTTTGCACGGATCTCGCGGGAACAGGGGCGAGCTCGCTGCTGGGGATAGCCTCACGTTGAGCACCATCCCTGTGCACGGATGTGATCTTCGGATGTGTATGTTTCGGTGCTTTGTTGGGCTCCAAGTCTTAGTATCGGCGATTCAGGAAGATGACATCATGGAACGCAAGAAGCTCCTGGAAGATGTTGGCAAAGATCCCAGCGAGGACAGCTGGCCTCTTCCAAATGTCGCATCCGAAGCATCAGGCGTATCGGCCCGCTGGACCCAACCAAGAGTTTGCTTGAGTCGCCGTCGTTGTCTCTGATCGAAGGAGAACACTGCTGCGGCTGAGGTTGAGGGGAAGTAATGTTTGCAGGACGTGCGCCCGGAATGGTAGAAAAGAGAGAAAGGTTCTGAGGCTACAGACAGCCGGTTCCTGCGATCTTGTCTTCCCCGTTTCCCTCCAGCTGACAGTCGTTCGAGNNGCTGCTTGCAGGGCCCATGCAGACGATATGACACGACATGACACTCCCTGGCCGTGGATCCCGCAGCTGCAGCCAGGCGGCGCGCGAAAACAGGCTGAGCCATCCGAGCCTGCCTGCATCTCACACATGCCGTGCCCAGAAGTGGCACCGTGCCTCTCCCCCATCCGCAAGGCAAAGTTCCAGCTGGCGCAAAACGGGTGCCGCTTGCATTCGAACGTTCGAAGCGTCAGTTCTGCAGCAGAATTCTGTTAGATGCTCGTTCATCCACGCATGCCAAAGACGCCGCTGAAGCCTATGAGTAGGAATGATGGAAACAGCTGCACGCGACAGAAGCTTGGGAAAGGTCAGTTTCATAAGCTTGCCTGCGTCAGGTGCAGGAGCTGCAGCATCAGCTGGTCGAGGCGCAGCGCGGGCCTGAGGAACGAAGGTGCGCGAAGGTGCTGCACATTAAATAACCCGCCGCTGCTGAAACTGTACAAGGTTTTTCCTGAAGCGCGCTTTTCGTCCGGGGAAAATGCTAATTGTGTAGCATGTCGGTTTACATGTAAGTTTCGAAGTTGCTTTAGAAAACATGCGGCTTTTCTCGAGATTCTTGCGTGCACAAGCTTGAAGGATTCAGGGTGTGCTGTCGGAGGAACAAGATGTTTAGGTGTGTGCATTTTGGGCTTGCCTTTTGGCATCCTTTTGGCTTTGAGGTTTGGAGGGTGCAAGCTGTTCGGGCTTGCACTCTCTCGGGCATAGGGTTGTCGGNNTGATTCTCTTGGTTTTTGCTTTTGGCCTTTTTTTGCTGGGGGTAGGGGTTAAAGGGGTAGGGGTTTAAGGTGGTGGGAAGGACGCTTGAACAAGGAAGAGGCCGAAAGAACGCAAGGAACGCACACACACACACACATACACGGAGCAGAGCAATGACAGGGACACAGCGGCAGAAACACGGAAACAAGTAAAGAAGTACAAAGGAATCGGCTTATGTATACATATATATACAGAAAGCTATATATATATAT